GAAATGTTTAGGTTGAAAGCTTGATCTGCTTTGACATATGTGGTTCTGCATAAAGCTAGAGGCTTCAAAAACAAACGCCAAATTACATCACCAACTCAAATGGCCTTTGACGAAGACAATACAATTGTTGGAAGGTATAATCACAATTGTCAACATGTCCAAATGCGTATTTGAAGAAGTTTGAGAGAATACTCTAATCCTCATAAGTGGCTATGTTTAAACCATTGTACCACTATAGTATAATCCTTTAGAGACACATGGGAAACTCACACAAACATTAAATATCATCCTAAGAATGATATGTGGCAATCACTATGAAGTGATTAAACCAATAATACACCTCATCCCCAGGATTCCCACAGAAGAACGTGAGGATTGGCAGCAAGAGTAGAAAGAATTGTACCACGTGCCATGATGTTGCTATCAATTGAGTTTGATTATTCAACTGTAATTGCATAGCATCAAGAAATTACATTAACTATTGCTCTAAAGTCAAAAGAGGAGGAAGTTATTACTTTGTTATGAAGATGAACAAAAAAGAAAAAGCAAAAAAGAAGAAATTAAGAAAAGTAATAAGAAAAGGGAGATTTAGACAATGCAAAAGTTAAATCTAAGCTAAAATCCCAAATTGTAACAGTCCTTATGGACAATCAAAACTCCCCCTAATCACCACAAATGTGAATGCATGGAATATGGAAAGAGAATACAAAAAATGTGTATATCAATTAGCCAAAAAACCCTAATTTATATATAGAAGTGAGTGGTCTAGATTTAAATTAATCTAATGGCTACCAAATCCCACTATATTAATATTAATATACAGCATCGTAACTATATACTTGCACTTCATAGCAAGAGTGACAAAATTTATATAAAATCACTAATTTTTATATTCACCCAACATTTGCTGGGCAATACCAATATATAATATTTGTAATAGAGATCACTCCAAGTATAAACGTTGATAAGAATATGCGAAATAGATTCTCTAAAAGTATCTTTGATCGTCCAAAAATTTCTAGAGGGATAAGCTCGAATGTGACAATAAAGAAGCTTCTTTAGGGCTCGCTCCTTTTGAATTATTTCCCCCTCTCACGATGGCGATGGCAGCGATGGTCTGGGCGCTCGCTCCATTGGTGATTTTGCTCATCCATCCCGCCGTATGCTCGCGCCTGATTCTATCGCCGCTCACGCTCCACAATGGTCTCGGCAAGACGCCGCCAATGGGGTAAGCGGAGGATTGCCTTTAGACGCAAAGAATGTGATGTATTTGCACAGATGGAATAGCTGGAACCATTTCGGATGCAACATCGATGAATTGACCGTCAAAGAAACTGGTATGTGTTTTCGTTGCGAATTTTCCAAGCTCACCTCCTACGCATCCAGCCGAGGCGCTGGTCTCGACTGGCCTGGCTGCATTGGGATACAATTACTTGAATGTTGGTAAGTTATTTTTGTTCCATTTTTTTTCTTTGGTTGTTTGATCACAGGCTTGTTTTCTGGTTTCTGGCAGACGATTGCTGGGCCGAGATGAAGCGAGGCTCTGAAGTAAATCTGTTTTGAGTGTACACGGCCGGGCAATGGTCAGTGAATTGTAACGCAATATTTTGTTTCTCAGGGCGAACTTACTGCTCGAGCAGCAACTTTCCCATCTGGCATCAAGGCCCTGGCGGATTTTGTTCACGAGAAAGGTCTCAAGTTTGGGATTTATTCCGACGCTGGGTAAGCTACTGAACTGGTCGATGCATTAATTTTCTTTGTTACTTGTTCAAGGTACTTTACGTGTGAGAAGCAGCCTGGATCTCTTGGATACGAGGAACAAGACGCTGAAACCTTCGCCTCATGGGTAAGCTTGAGCACAAGTTTTTCGTTTTAAGCTTTTGTTTTCTTTAGGGAATCGATTATCTCAAGTATGATAACTGCTACACAGATGGAAGTAAGCCTGAGTTGAGGTAAGAACTCTTTTGAACTCTTGGTTTCTCTTGTTCATTTTCTGTATCAGGTATCCAATCATGCAGGAAGCTCTCGCCAAGACGGGTCGTAAGATATTCTTCTCCATCTGCGAATGGTGGAAGTTTTTCTCGTTCTCTTCCTTCTTTTCGTGTTTTGTTTACGCTTATCTTTTTGCAGGGGCGTCGATGACCCCGCAGAATGGGCGCCTGACGTTGGAAATAGCTGGCGTACTACCGGTGACATCACCGATACCTGGAAAAGGTATTCTCTTTCCTTGTTTCTCAGCTCTGATCTTTGCACAGCATGACAACTATTGCCGATTTAAATGATCGCTGGGCTTCGTTTGCTGGACCCGGCGGCTGGAATGGTGATTTCATTTCCCGCGCTTCCCACTTTTCTTTTCACGAACTCTGCGTAACTTGCAGATCCAGACATGCTTGAAGTTGGAAACGGCGGAATGACCATTGACGAATATCGGTCACACTTCAGCATATGGGCATTGATGAAGGTTTCACTTAATTGTTTATTTCCAGCCACTGAGATTGTTTAGCTCGCAGGCACCATTGATTCTCGGCTGTGATCTCCGAGATATGAGCAATGACACGCTAGAGATCATTACCAACAAGGAGGTTATCAGTGTAAATCAAGGTAGTCTGTTTGTTTTGATTCAGATACCTGTTTGTTTTTATAAGAGCCTTGTCTATAGATTCATTGGGAATTCAAGGGAGAAAAGTTTGTAAGAAAGGACCTGAAGAATGCCACGAGGTAATCTTTGTTTGTCTTGGATTATCACTCCTCAATTCTCGTAGTTTCTGCCAGATCTGGGCCGGTCCACTCTCTCTTAAGCGAACAGCGGTAGTGATCTGGAACAGGTGCGAGGGGGATGCCGATATCGAGGTGTCATGGCAAGAGATCTCATTGCACCCATCCACTCGAGTGACAATACGAGACTTGTGGAAGGTATTTTTCAAGCTTGATGAGTATCACCACTACTTACTGCCTTGCAGCACGAGTACTGGAGTGGTGTTTACAACGAAAGCATTGTGGTTAGCGTGGCCCCTCATGGTGCCGAGATGTTTATCCTAAGCCCGGGATGGTCGTCTCTTCCTAAGCAGGTTCTCGCAGCAGTCTTTGATACTATGTTCGCTTCACAGTAATCGAAATGCTAAAGCTACTGGCTAAGATTGAGAGTTGTAATTGCTCATGCTTTCCTTGCAGGAAGGCCGAGCATAGATAAGCTCGAAGACAAGTCTGTGTGTGTTAAATCTGTTACAATTTATACTTCGTTGATTATCGAGCTCTCCTTTAAGCTTTTGGTTCCGACTATGGCATGACATGATACTGGTTAGAGCAAGAAAATGCTTTGTAAATATTTATTTTGTGACGGCCGAGATTAAAAGTTACTTTTTAATCGAATTTGTAGTGCTTGTCCACCGTGGCAGCCACGTCCCACGTACAGCTCATTCCTTTTGGGAAGACAACCAAATCCCCGGCGCTAATCTCCACGAATTCGTCGCTAGATCCCTCCGGATACACCTTCACCTTGCCCTCCAGCAGATAACACGTCTCCCTGGCATCGTATGTCCATGGGAATTTGCTGGGCGTGCAGCCCCACCTGGAGTTCCATCCTTCGATCAATCACTCACTCTCCATCGATCAAAACAGCAAGAGGAATCGACTTACTTTGGCCAGGTCTTGACGCCCAGCTCTCTCAGTCTCGCATCCGAGGGCTCCTTCTCGACCTTGATGCCCAATTTCTCCACCACTGCTGGTGCCTGGCGATCCTGCGCCATAGCTCGGAGCCCCTTGGAGCGCAAAGGCCTCGTGGCGGCGGGTCTACTAGCCAAGCGCTCAAAATCGCCACAACCCTGAAAAGCTCTGGAGCAAGGGAAAGACAAGGCTGCGCTTATAGCTGCTGCCATAGCCGTATAGAATGACTGAAATACAATGCGATGCGACACGTGTTCTGACACGTAGATGACACATAGGCAAAAAGGTCAGCCACGTGCAGTGCGCATGCTCCACGTAACTACCACGTAAGCTTAAGCCAAATGGCATATACCCTGAAGATATTAAAGCTCCCCGAAGCATGGCTCGTTGTCCAAGCCATGTCTCCAGCGCATTGTCTCTCAATCCACATTCCAGCAGCGGCACCACTGGTTGTGGCAGTGGGATTTTTCCTCCCAGGAGGAGCTTGCCTGCGTTTTCCAGCAACACTGGATCAATCTCCATCAAGCAAGCGAGCAAATCAACGAAATGCCGAGAGCTGGCTGTGAGTGGAGCTGGGAGTTCTATTGTCCAGGAAGATGAAGGTGAGCCAATCTCTCTGGGGACTGCCAAGCTTCCTGCTAATGTGGACGTGAAGCTCCTCGAGGACTTGATGTTTCAAGTAAGTGAATCTCTACCTTGAAGTTGTAAGAAAGAAAGATAACCTTCTACTGTTTCAGTGGGGCAACAGCCTCACGCAAAACGCGAACTTCACTCTGGAGCTCCCTCTCAAGGTAGAATCCTTCAAGAGCTTGAATCTACTACACCAATAAAAGGAGAAATGGAAATGTTAAATGCAGGTGGACAAAGTGAAAAATGGAGTAAGACTGGCATACATACGAATCAATGAAGGAGTTGTCGAGGATCTAGTTTACATTGATGTGCTAGTGCTGCCACCAAGTAGTGAATCAACACAGCCTTTCTTCCTGGTGCAAAGGAGTGGCAAACTCAAAAACTCTGTCCCTCCTGGTGAGCCAGCCATCATGCAGAGCCTACTGCAAGCACTCAAAAAGTCAGTACAAATTGCAACACCGAATTGAGTGAGATGGATGTAAAGATTATTTCAAAATTGTAAAATTTCTCTCTTGAGAACTTGCTTGCCTACCTGCATGATCAGGCACTCTTAGAAAAGTGCAAAGGCTATGATCTTTACAAGTCTAGCCACTTCCTCTTGCCCATATCTTCCTGTTCAGTATACTAATAGTAAGGTGTTCAATGGGTAAACATGTGCTCTTACCCAACGAAATAGTTTGCTTCTCGATTCCGTCTTCAGTCATGTCTGAGCACTTAGAAAGTTAAATGATTTGATCACATCACAAACCTGGGTCGCATTGAACTTCGTGCAAAGGTAT